GAGAAGAACCAAGTCAGCAGGCAAAAAAGCATCAAGCTGGAGTCTGATGTCCAGCGGCTGGAGAGAGAAATCCGGGAGGTGAAAGAGCTAATCAACCTGCGGGAAAGTACTATCATAGAGATCCAGAAAGAAATCAAGGCATCGCAGCTTTCAGAGACAAACACCAGAGAGACCAACGTCTCCACCAAAATCACCATTCTGGACCCAGAAACTGGGAAAGATATGTCACCCTACGACGCCTACGTCGAGGGTCTGATTGATCGCAATCAGTACATCCATCTTCAAGAGCTCGAGTGCAGTTGGGAGGAAATCACAACCACCGGTCCTGAAGGTGAGACGATGCTTCTGCAGGACCGTAAAAGTGGAAAGCAGTACTCCGTCAAGGCGGCCATGGAAAATGGCCGACTGACCCCGTACGACCTTCAGCGCTACAGAGAGAGCAAAATGTCCATTTCAGAGTTTGCTCTTTTGGTTGCAGGGGAGAAGAAATCCATATCCTTCCCTGCAACACAAACGCAAATAAAAACTAATCAGACTCTCCCTCCCCCAAGCCCAAGCTACAACTCCTCCACTTTGACCCGCCGCTTCTCCTCCAGCACCAGCAGCTTGAACTCGCTATCTCAGCTGAACACCAGTGGGGATGAACTCTACCCGATTTCTGGGATTCTAGACCTCACCACAGAGAGCCGCATGTCCGTACGAAGTGCCCTAACACGCAAGCTGATTGATCAAGACACAGCGATGAGGCTTCTGGAAGCTCAGGCTGCCACTGGAGGTATTGTGGACCTGAACAAGAAGGACAAGCTCTCCATTCACAAGGCGGCAGAGCGTGGATTGATCGAGCCCAGCTATCTTAGCAAACTCCTCAGTGCCCAGAAGGCCTTTACTGGTTTTGAAGACCCTGTGTCCAAAGAGCGTATGTCAGTGGGAGAAGCCGGTCGCAGGGGATGGATCCCCAATGATAACGCCATGTGGTTTATGGAGGCGCAGCTGCTTACCGGCGGACTGGTAGACCCGAAACGAGCAGGTCGGGTCGCCCTGCAGAATGCCGTTGACGCAAACCTGATTGACGCATCCATGGTCAAGCAACTTCTGGAGGATTCGGCCTTTGTGAAGAATGTGATCGACCCCATCAAGAAGGAAAAGATCACGTATAAGGAGGCCATGGCTCGATGCAAGAGGGACCATAGCACGGGGCTGCTCCTGCTCCCAGCCGCCTCCAATGACGCCGTAGACGCCCCATCCTATTCCAGCTACAAGTTCTCCAAATAATAATACAACACGCAACAATGATAACAGATTTAAGTGCTGTAATAGCAAGGGACTTTGGATTCTAGGGGTTTTTCATACCCATATATACATATAAGATAAATAATCTCTGGAGCTTTTTATGTCATGCTGAGGTGCTTAACTTTTTCCTTGTTTTTGTTTTTAACATGTTTTTTTTTTCAGCTACTTTTTATTTCCTGATTCATCTTGATGAATGGGCGGAATTGCTTTTTTGGACTTCATATACAATAAAAGATACTATTTCATACCTAAAGTGACTGTCTCTGGAATGTCTATGCATTTCTAACTAGGAAATGTGAATATCTACAGTAAAAATCGATCTCTGAATGATAGAGATAAGTCTAGTTTACTTGATGTAGACACTCTACAGTGGAGTTTGTGAACCCCTGGGGGTTTGTGAGGGAACTGCAGGGGGTTAGTGAGTTTAAGCTTAATTAAATAATTATGAAATAATAAAAATAAAATCAGAATACAACTCGTGACGTAGTTAAACTGCTCGTCATACATCAGAGAAGAACCATGAAAATGCAAGTTTTGTTAAATTATTAAAATATTCCCTAAGTCAGTAAATATTTTAGGTCAAAGGGTTTCGGCTGACAAAAAAAGTTTAAGAATTGAAGAGCTAAACACAATTTTGCTACATAATAAAAGATGAAGGCCTAAAGCACTAAATATTTTCAGCCTCCATTACGCTCTAAAAGTAATCACTATACTTTATATAATCACTATAATTTACAGTATTTTTACCGATTCACATTTATGAACTTAGACATAAGGACAACACATGAATGCACGCACACATAAATATGTTTCTCATCTGAAGTTTTGTTAATATTGTGTATCTTTATTTGTTCATACAAATGTATGACTTGGAAAAATATATTACTTATTTATATATTTATATATATATATCAAGTATACAGAGAATGCAATTTTAATATCACAGTACAGTTGCAATCATTTGCACAGTTCTGATTCGCAAACAAATCAAAGCACTTATTCTCAATGTTTCTGCTCTCCACAGAATCGCTTCTGGTCACATATTGTGCAAAAACCTAATTTCTCTAAACAAAACAACAAAATTATCATTCGTACACAAATCAACTACAGATGTTAGCAAATTTCACACTAACACATCTATACTGAATCTGTCCATTAGCCTGGTTGTTACAAAACATTCAAGTTTGTGAGGAACAAAATGCATTTTAAATGCAATGCAATTTAAATAATCACTAAAACCCCCATATTGATTATTTGCACTACTACTCAATATAATTTATACTCTTCTAACACCCAGAACATCACTACCAGATGACAATTCACAATGAAGTAAACACAGGGGTGATTTTAAGCTCAAGCTTGGTTATGATTGGATGTTTATTTAACTTTTAAACCTTTAACCAATGACATCACACAGGAAGTGACATCATCCTAGAGGAGAAACAGCAGCAAACATTAGTAAGTGTTATCATTGTATTTATCTGTATTCTGTGATGGTATTAGTTGGCTAGTTTAACTCTAAATGTTTAATCTTGTTTGCTAAAATTACATAAATCAGTTCAAATAAAATCAACATTTCAAAAGATGGTTAAACTATGAAAATGGCCATCAAGTTGACGTCCTCATGTCAGCGAATGAGCAATATCTAACTTCTGTTGATTTGTAAATAAATTTGTTATGTGATAAAGACAGGTAACTTATAGAAACAAATCAAATCTGTTTAACGTTGTTGTTTTTTTTGGTCAGGTTTCACCATTGAAAGGACATTATGCGACTGGCAAAAATGCTAAATTTTCAACAAAACAATATATTTAGTATGGATTTAGTATGCCGTAAAGAGTGATGAACAAAATTTCCCATTATTCTCTGTTGTAGCACAAGAGCAATACACAGAAAAACCACCAGTTCCACATATTCATGATTTGTGCTTCATTTTGTTGCATTACATCACTAAAAATGCAGAGAATGCATCCGTTTTCATTCTTACCAAAATCATATGAAAACCACAAATGTCATTATTTATGATTTATATTTTAAGTGGGATGTAATTTCCCATGGAGGATCTGAAGGCGGCACGTCACATCGCTCTCTTAAATAATAACAAACATAAAAACATATGCTTTATCATAGAAAAATAAAGATGAACAGCGACATCATTTATGTTCAACGTTGGCACTTCTGAAAATCAAGATTGGTGCATCGCAGCAGCAGAAACTCCAGCATTACACGAGATGGGGAATCTCAGCAGGCCTCACCCCAGAAACAGAAGAAATTATAACACTTACACTTGCTAAAGTTCATTTTTAGATTTTAAAATGAATAAATAAACATGTTAATAACTTTGCTGTAAAAATGTGCAGTTAAATGTTCATAAAATAATGTCACAAAGTAAAAAAACGTTAATGGTTGTCTTAATTTTCTAAATGCAAAATATTATTTATTTATTTAGATTATTTAGGAATTTGACCATGGCCACGTTTTAATTAATGAATTAAATGAATAACATAATCTTCATTTTCTAAATGCAAAATATTATTTATTAATTTATTTAGATATTGGCCACGTTTTCAGATGCACAAGCATCAGAGATGACTTAAATTAAATATTTTATAGATATTTTAAGATTAGATGTGGATATTTTGTATTGCATAGTTTTGCATAAGAAGAAGTGGATCTTTTGCATTGGTCATTTTTGCAATAAAAAAATCAGGGCTTTAATAAGTTTAACAATCATGAAAACGATGTCACAATGTAAAAACAGTCCATTTTCTTGATACAAAACATAATTTCATTACATTTTTGGGGTGAAGTGTGACCTGGAAATGTCTTCAGATGCTCACATTTCACCCTAAATATAAAAAGAAAGAAAGAAAAAGTATGTTTTTACATAAAGAAAATGAAGCTTATATTTTTTTTAGATAAATGCATTTTACACTCTGCAGTTTTGTGAGAAAATTTAAATTTAATTAACTTCCATGTACACAGTGTAAAAACAGTCCATTTTCTTAACCCTAAAACCGTATTCTGGACAAATTGTGGGCAAAATAGTTTTGATTTATTTTTAAAAAATACTTCCCTTGATCTGAGTGGTACAAGACTTGGCTACTTTTCCTAAGTTTGCCTCCTGAAAACACACAATTTTTTTGACTTTTTTTTTTTTAATTCTACAATGTTAAGTGAGTGAAAAAAACTCCTTAATCTTGTATTTGGGTCAAAAATGGGCACCCACAGAAATGAATGGGAAAAAGGGCAAAATAAGACACCAGGTGACAGCAAAGTCACTTCATCTTTAGGTTTAAGCTCTAAGAACTTATTGGAATGATATTTTAATGTACTTAAAACTTAAAAAAAAAACCCATAAAAATAAGCATAATTTACATAGTAAATATAGTACTTTTTGAAATAAATAAATTCAAAAATACCCCCAAAATAAAAAATAAAAAACACCATAAATGGATAGACCAAACTTTATCGAAGACAGTGCTATAACATTTATAATAAATAAAAATTAGGATCACACCTGAGTCCTCTGTGCCCACATTTGTCCACAATTACAGGATTAAGGGCTATAAAGTGAATACAGTTTGAAGGCTACTAAGAAACAGTAATTTCTTTTTGATTTTGGGGTGAAATGTGACCTGGCCATGTTTACATGAGATTCCCCCAAAGTTACAATTCATTTAGTAAAAGAAAGTTCAAAGAATTTCAAGTTTCAGGGTCGGGATTGTGCTTTAATAACAGCGCTGTAGTTGAGAGGTCACGTGGAGATGAGTCGGGCCGCCCCCCGGTGTACCTGTGCCTGAACGGGCCCGTACTCAACCCGCTCCCCGTCCACCGTCATCAAGCCGGCCGGGCTCAGCGGCTCCAGCCTCAGCGCTCGCGCCCGCCGGTACACCAGGTGTGGGCAGCCGAGGTCCAGGTGCGTCCCGCTCTGCATGGCCCGGAAGAGTCTCAGCAGGGCGGCCCGGGAGATCCCCGCCGTCACGTAGAACAGGTGCATCGTCCCGTCATCGGAGCGGGCGTCAGGAGCCGCCATCAGATCCTCGCTCAGGTGCGACTGGAACATGGCGAGCACCAGCACGAACTCGCGCTCCTCCACGAGGGTCCAGTCTTGCGGGACGGGCTGGTCGAGCGGGACCAGCAGGTGGTCTATAAGCTTGTTTTCGTCGAAATGTGTTTCCGGCTGGTTTTCGGCGGGAAGGAAGGCTAGTTTCCCCTGGTAGACCCGTAGGGACGCCAGGCGCACCAGCGTTCCCACGAGGAAGCGCAGATCTCCGATCTGCCGAAACTGCTCGCTCTCGATGTCCACGTCGGCCACGAAGCCCCAGGCCAGCGAGAGGAAGGAGAAGAGGCGCGCGCCGGAGGACAGGCGGATGGAGATCAGGTCGAGCGCTGAGGTCTGGCCTTTACACAGCTGGAAGCCACAGCTGGTCAGCAGATCCTCGCCACTCACCGGAGACGCACTACAGAACACATTCAGAGGTCAGTGTTGTTAATGTGTAGAATTCATGTTCTAGGATCAGAAAATTAAACATGCATAATTTCAAAAACAGCTAATGAGCCAATTAGTATCAACGATCCCCTGTGAGACTTATTTTAGTATTGCCTATATCAGGGTGTCTATTAGAGCCAGACCGAAAAAGGATTTTGAAGGCCGATACCGTTTTAAAATCCGATATATCGGCCGATATTTTTTTTTTTTTCCACAAACGCGCAACAAAACATTAACAGATTTCCCTAACATTAGTTATGTGTAGTTATTTATGAGTTTTAGCTAAAATAATATGATAATGCATTTTAAAAAGAAACTTTTCTAATAAAACAGAAACAAGTCTGCAACGCACACTTGGCATCGTTGGATTTCGCACGCGTGTAAAAGAAAAGCTTTTATGCACAAGATGTGTGGCATGTTACCAACAGGGACGGTGTAGAGAGCTCTCTGGTGGACAAACTATACAACTCCAACACTCAAGAAATGGTTGAAGCATGTTTTGTTTTTGTTTTTATTTTATTTTTGAAATATTCATTTATCGGCCATTATAACTGCCGATACCGATAGTTTGGAAAATGTTTAATATCGGCCGATAAATCGGTCTATCTACACTGAGTTCAACTATCCCGCCTTGTTGGCTCAGGCAATTTACACTAAAGGCGAACGAGCTTCAGAAAAGACTGACCGTCATCATTTTTTGGTGTGGACGCAAATATAGTTATCGTTATAGTCATCGTTATTGGTGTGAACTGCCCTTAACTCGCTCGAGACTGATTGTATCTGCCACTTTTATAAGTATAAATAGCATTTGCAACTAAAAATAATGCTATTTTTGCAGTGTAAATAGAATCTGTAATTATTTTCACTGTGTAAATAAAATATTGGTAAGAAAATACCGCTATTTTCACTTAGAAATATAAATGTAAAATTAAATGCATAAATGTAAATAGAATATATTGCTGTTTGCACTTAGAGCAAATAGCCTCTTCATATTCATACAGCCTACTTAATTTTTAAATAACTTTTCAGTTTTAATTTCAGTTTTAGTAATTTTGTTGTGTGATATTTCTATTTAGTTTTCATTTCATTTTATCTTAGTCATTTTTAAATGGGTATTTTTTTAAGTTTAAGATTTTTTTTATCTAATAATGTACAATTATTAGATATATATGAAGAGTTCAGATGCAAAAGCCTCTAAGTGCCATTTGAAATTTTCTTCTAGAATGATCATTTTTTATCAAGTTTGTATATTTAAGTTCAGTGATTTCACTTAAATGGCAATGATAATGACCTATTAATTGTTATTTAAGTGAAATTACTGCACTTAAATATACAAGTTTGATAAAAATCATCATTAAAGAAGAAAATTTCAAATGGCATTTAGAGGCTTTTGCATCTGAACTCTTCATATCTAATAATTTTACAGTTTTTAATAGTTCTAGTTAACTATAACAGTAAACTTAACACATACATTTTTATGATTATGCAAATATTGATATAAAACAGCATACTTTTACAAAAAAGTCAATCGAACCTTATAATATTAGTGTATGTCAAAACATTCCCCATAACAGTTATTTTAGCATGTTTATAGGCTACATGGAGCTATTGTAGGCCTATTTATTAATAGTATTCATTCATAATAATTTTTTATTTCAGTTTAGCAGTCAGTATAATGATAGTCTGCAGTCATCCGTCATGATTTATCACATTTATTTCTGTAGGACTTTCTATTTTAAAATATTATATGTTGAAATGAATACAGTTATTATTGACATATGCGCAGTTCTGATGTACTAATGAAAATGATCATGTATAGCATAAACAGTGTGCTCATTTAATCAAGCTGTAAAATAATTATTTATGCACAGTTTAATTAATCACCAATAGGTGGCGCTTGGCCTTTGATAACGAAAATAAATCAAAAGGCCAAACAAAAATGTGAGCGTGTGAATTGAGTCCTGATGAATGTCTGTGGTCTGGTTGATCTTCATGAATAGAAATGACTGTACTATAGTGAGGTTAGAGTCAGCGTTTGAGTATTTAACCTGTTATCACCGGCTTTATTCTCCTGAATCCAGCGATGATCAGCTCTCTGACTGGATGCAAGTCATTAATGCTTTCGTTTGTTTCGCTCTCTCAGCAGAACCGAACTCTTATTCTTTTGTTGAAAGAGATGATGAGTTTAAACCCACAGAGATTCAGCTTTCTCACGTTGAGACACGAGGTTAATGACTGGAATAATAGGCTAGCTCTCGTCTCTGTAATGACTGCTTGCTTTGCAAACTTTAAATTGAATAGCAGAGCATCCTCCATCTGAACGAACACGTAATGGCGATTACTAAACCAAATGAAGCTCTGAGTGAACACTGACCTAATGGTGCGTTCAAGTCATCTCATAAAGATCGGATTTATGAGATGAGCACACATGAACGCCACAACAATGTCATAAATACGAGTGGGAGCCCCGATCTTTTAAGCCCCGATCTTTATGAGTTGTCAGTGAGGAACATATATCAGATACCACAATACTTAAAGGCTTTTCTATTTAGAGCGCAATAAGCTAATTGCATACACAGGATACGAAGGCATTATAATACAGTATAACAATGCAATATGTAACGATAAAGCTTGCAGCGGCTTCATAAATGAATTGGTTTTATGCACAGCTGCACTACTTCCTGAACTTCAGCCAGCTCCTTTGTATCCTGTCTTCCATTATTGGACAAACTGATTAATCCAGGTGTGTCTGATTATTGTTGTTGTGACTACTGAGGTCAGGCACACTTGGATTAATCAGTTTGTCCAATAATGGCAGACAGGAAACAAAGAGCTGGCTTAAGTTCAGGAAGTAGTGCAGCTGTGCATTAAGCACATTAAAGCTGCGAGCAACATTTAGCGGGGTTCAAGCATTTGAGGCCTTTAAGCACACATTAAAGACATGAAGTTTTATTTAGCAAGCATTTAACCACTGACATCATAGATGGAAAAGACCATTTACAGTCAATACAGGCGATTTACATATGGTTTTCAAAGGTTTTTCGACAGTTTTAGCGCCACCTATGGTCCGATCTCCATAAAATGTTGCATGCTTGATTACTAAGTTGTCACCAAGCGTGCCGCACAAGCCCTCAAAAGTGAAGCCAAAACGTCTCGATCGCCCCCCTGTGACCGGTCCTAGTATAGGTCATAAACCCCGCCTCCCCATGTTATTCAACGGGACGCGAGACCAACTAAACAATTAAATTACACTTCACATATCCTTTATCCAAAGATAGTTTCTGTCTTTTACTGTAGTTTCTATCACGTTGATGTAATTTCAAGAGTTTGTTTTTAAAATAAGTTTGTTTTTAGTTAGTTATGTGATGGTATAAACGGTGCTCTGACATCATGATTGACAGGTTCTCTGTGCGAGGTAGTCACTGAAGCACCAGCGGACTTTTTTAAATAATGTTGACTATGTGGTTAGTAGTTGTATTTACCTTATTTTAACGAGGTTCTGTAATCAGCAGACATCATTGGAGAAGAACGAAGCAGACAGAGGACACTTAATGAAAGTGCGGGGCGTGTGCTTGCGTTTGATTCAGCGAGAATGAGGGCGGGGCCTTGATTTCGCGGCTTTACTTCATGCTCACGACTGCGCATGTCTGGTCCCGAAACACGCAAGTGCGCAGACTCAAGTTCAAGATGTCAGCGTCATATCGAGACACTGGCGGCTTCAGTTCTCTCTGATGGAAAAGAGCGAAGAGGCGTCGTCCATCTTTTTTCACAGTCTATGGTTGTCGCATATGCCCACCGATTTTTGTGAAGTTCAGAGTTTGAGGCTTCGGAGTGTATTTTGCCACGCCCCTTTTCTAAATGACCCTGTTATAGCCATCCAAATGCAAAAGTTCAATTTTTTTTCGATAATATTGATCTAGAGAGTCCAGAGAATTGCCCTAGACTGGTGTTGTTCCGATCGGGCGGGAAAAAAAAAACAGGGACTAGTTCGCAAAAGTAGGTTTTGGACAAAATTCGACATAACAGAAAATTTTTGCTGCCTGAATCCAAATTGGAGATTGTGTCCTTCTTGAGCCAAGGATCACAGTGGTGTAAAAACCCTTAGTATTTGTCACCTGAACGCACCTGCCGTCGTAAACACTTCCGAGGAGGACTTGAACACCGTTAGATCATAATCTGATATCTGTGTTCACAGTCTCGCAGCTAAACGCCACCAATGGTCTCTACGATCAATTTAGGCTTATGATGCTTTTGGGAAACGCAGCCCTGATCTATAATTATGTTCTCAAAACGTACGCAACAAACCTAATTTTTAATGTGTTTCTGAAACGTTTTAGTTGTACGTTTAGTTGTCTAAACCTTTTTAAATGTTACTACTTCATATGCTAGATACTTGCTAGGTAGCCTACTTGTTTCAGAACGTTTTTAAAACATTTAAATACTGGCCTTTTTTAACAATCGAAGAAGAAACAGAAAAACCACAGCTATCCAATCAATTCCCCACAAACAAAATCAAGCCCCGCCTACATTTGTTCTTGTTTGAGAAGCCACTTCACTCGGATATATGTCACAATAGGGAAGAAAATACCAGCGCAACTTCTGTTTCATGGCGACATTAATATATAAATATTCTTAAACATCTAATTCCATCTAATCTAATTATTAAAAATATGCTCGTTTTCAATTATTTGACCATAGACCCTTTTATTCTATCTTTAGACCTTATGTTTTATATACTTACATTCTATATATTTTTTATTTTATTTTATACATTATATGTAATCTATAAACATGCAATCTAGATACACTGTTACATGGAATCTTTAGCAAATCTCAACATGAATATATATTTTTTCATATTATACATTATAATGCAGCATTATGGCTGGTTTATTTATTTATTTATTTATACACATTGGTATATCATTTTAACATAACTTGGCCATGCATTTAATGTTAGATTTCAGATTGAATGTGAAGGGTTTGTGGGAGGGTCTTGACCGCATGAATGAATCTGATTGGCTGTGAACGCTCACCGTGTGTAGTGATGGATGGAAGCAGCCAGTGCGTTTCCCGAACCTCCAGGCAGGATTCCCAGAGGAGTCTGGATGGCCTTTTCCCAATCCTGCCTCTCCATTAGACCGTTCACCACCTAAAACACACACTCATGAGCTGTATAGCCAACACACACCCACCCACACACACAAACAAACACACGCACCTCAAACAGCAGCCCGTCTCCAGACAGAATCACTAAAGCGTCCCACTGTGTCAGGTCGGCGTTCCTCGCCAGATCTCGGGCGTGATTCGGCCGCTCTGTATGGATCATACATCACAGTTCACTCCCATGAGTCAGATACTTCAGTTAATGCACTTTATGAGCAGATCCTCTCTGCTACATTAAACACGTCTATTAGACCTGACGCTCCTGCAGAGAGAGACATGCTCCACAAAGCAATCTTATTCTACTATCACTGACATACTGGTAGAGCTTTTATTCATATTCTGAATCAATCAATCAGATATTAAAGGGGACATATCATGCAAAATCCACTTTTTTAGCCCTTAAATGCATTTTGTTGTATATTTGGAGTGTTTATAAGTACATAAAAGATGAAATTATTCTCTTCAGGTGCTTCGTTTATATCTTTATATTCTGTTTTGGTCATATTTTTCAACCTGTTCAGATTTTTCTGTTCTCTATGACGTTTCTTGAACTGTCACGTCACCGTATTTGCAGGGGAACTGCCAAATAAGGACATCGACTACCGGCCCAACACTTCGAGCAATCCGCCATTATTATTTCTCGCTCCGATTTTGTAGTCCGAGCTCAATGATGCAGAAGTTACGAGAGGGCAAGTCAAAATGTTCGGTTGTTGGATGTAGTGACCTGAAGCACTTCAAGGATTCCCACTTCAACAACCTCCGCCAGTATAAAGAAGGGTTTGCCGATTGACTTCGTCTGAATGAGGGGTAAATTCCTTCTATTTAGCTGCTGTGTTTTCTGATGCTTTTCTAAACGTAAGTTATTATATCATTATCAATACAGATTTTTAGTGGTAAGATTAGACCGTAGTCATTTATCTTGTCTGTGTGCTTGTTTTAACAAGAGAAATAGTCGACTTTCACTAATAACACAACATAGTTAACTCGCATACCACTACATCCATATGATGAAGAGGTTGTTCTGCAGGTTCTTCATCGTCTTTTTCAACTCGCTCGCTCTGGCTCGAATATGTAACGTTAAGGCTTGATGGACAAGTCTTCTGTTGTTGACATTTTGTTAACGTGTGAATAAAAATGTTCTTTGAAGCTATAGTAATCGTATATCTCTAATCAAACTACAATAATGGCCGAACGCGGGGAGTTGAACTGACCGTGAACTCATCGACCTGGAGAACGGGCGGGGAAAGACTCAACTCCTTCTTATTTAAAGGGGCCGCTTTGAAACGGGTTGCTCACAGATGCACATCAGAAAAGGGGCCTGTAGAGCTATAATAATGAGGAATTCAGACCCAAGCATTGCAGTTATGCTTTATATAGACCACAACGGTATGATTTATAAGTAAAAATGAATGACTTAAAAGCATGATATGTACCCTTTAAGGCTGCGTCCGAAATCGTGTACAATGTGAGTAGGTACTATATTTAAATAAGAACGTACTTCACGATCATTAAAAAAGTACGTTCTATATAGTATGAATGAGTCCGGACATACTACATGCGCCATGTTGTTGTCGCGTGACATACGCTGTCACAACAGTGTGAAAATTTAAAGAGCCCATTCCAGTGACTGCACCAACTTCGCGTTGTTTTTAGTTCTGCTTTCTGTTTTAATCTGCGTTTTTACGTTGTCCGACCCGACAATCAAGAGGAGGCGTCGGTCAGCTCCTCGCAAATCACACCTTTCGCGGAATTTCTCAAATAACATTTATTTACCGAATAAATTTGACCTCATAAAACACTCAGTCACACAACCCCTATAAACAATGACAGATGTTGATTTTTGGCAAGGAAAAAGACATTTATTTGCTTGTGATATTACCACCGATAAATAAACATGAATGAATCAATAGAGATACGCATGTGTGCCTGTGTTTATCTCCTAACGTTACAGCCGCGTCTCCGGTTTCCGCCATTTTCAAATATAACGACAACAACTCCTCTCCCGTGGCATCATGGGATAGTAAAGTGTCCATCGTATGCGCACTTCAGAATCTTACTGTTTTTCCAATTCTATGATTTCGGACATGCTACTCCGCTCGCGTACTGTTTTTCGCACACTATATAGTAGGGAAGTATTCGTTTTCGGACGCAGCCTATATTTTCTGTTTTCATTTTAGTTGAAGTATTTATTAATTGCGTTTTTGCTATTTCTATTTAAAAAACAAAACAAATTCTGTACATAGCATTCATTTTTTCAGACTTAGTTTTAGCTTCAGAAGAATTGTGTTTTCTAAAGAATGTAGAAAATCTATAATATCTTTCCAATAGAGAGCCTAAGTCCCGCCCCTCCGCTTCGGCTCATGGGACCTTATTTCGGAAAAAATATGTATGGTAGTCAATGGCGAGAGACAACTAATCTTTTTATTCCGTCTGAACTGTGCCCTGAATTACACATATAATGTTTGTCAATTTAAAAGATAATTCTGAAAGTCAAAAACGTCGCAGTTTGTCATAAAAGAGAAGAGTAACTTTTGGATTTATGTGAAAATCGCTCAATGAACTACATCTCCCGGCAAGCGAAACAACGAGTAGATCCGCTGCTCGTGTGTGTGCAGTCTGGTACAAAACACTCGTATGACGGCGTAACGTTACGATTATAACGTAAGACTATAGAAACAATGACAGACATTAGCCTCAGTAAAGTTAGCTTCATTCATTGAGAGAAAATGTGCGCCTTTGGGGTTTGTAGTCTTTGTAATTACGTATTTTCACAGTCTTATACCTCAACGGTTTCACATCAAACTGCGACTTTCTTTACTTTAAAATGTATCTTTTAAATTGACAAACATCATATGTGTAATTCAGGGCACAATTCAAACGAGATCAAAATATTTGTTTTCTCTCGCCATTGACTACCATACAATATTTTTCCGAAATAAGGTCCCATGGTGGTCGACCGGAAGGGGAGGGACTTAGGCTCTCTATATTTTCTGTTTTCATTTTAGTTGAAGTATTTATTAATTGCGTTTTTGCTATTTCTATTTAAAAAACAAAACAAATTCTATATATAGCATTTATTTTTTCAGACTTGGTTTTAGCTTCAGAAGAATTGTGTTTTCTAAAGAATGTAGAAAATCTAAAGTATCTTTCCCATTTTTGGGAGTTTGATTGACAGGCGATCCGACCAATCATAATCCGACGAATCCGCCATTTTTTTGTCCGACAAAGCAGTCAGGAGAGTTAATGGATTAATGTTTAACGAGTGTACTGACGTCTTTCCACAGATGAAACAACATTCCTTCTGATGTCCATTCATGTTTATTTGATGCTATAAATGAAGCAAGCGTGCCGCACAAGCCCTTAAAAGTAAAGATTCTATGAATGTTAAAGATTCTTTATGGAACCATGGATTCCAATACGGAACTTTCATAATATCACTGTAAAAATTGGAACACACAGGGCACAGAGAGACAAATCATGCACAACTAACACACACTGAACTTTGACTGATGGGTGTATAAATAGATCCATCAACAGCACACACACACACACACACACACGATCAGTCGCAGCATCGCTCAAACAGCTCTCTCTCTCTCTCTCACACACAGTTTGACAGTGAAGCTCTTCATCTCTTGTCATTCTGCTGCTGTGTTGAGTGTTTTTCACTCATGTGTGATTAATAGTGTGTTTAATGTATAAGGCAACAAACTCTATGGATACAGGAGCTTGTATTTGAGTATATAGACTCTAAAGATGAAAAAAAAAACATACAAAACAACTTCAGCCCCAACAGATCAACCGCTGTCATGGTGGAGCCACAGAGTGAGGAACATTTTTTTAACTTGAAAAGCAAGTCTGGTTTGATACCGACATCAACAAAACCCGAAGTTAGAGACAGCTCACCCAAAAACTATCATTCCCTAATCATTCACTCAAATCGTTGAGTAAAAAAAGCACGTTATACTATGCGTAACATCATGAGGATGAGCTGAAACTCCCTGCTTGCTGCAGGTCATCTAATGCCATTCATCTACAAAATGAAATCAGTCTCTGAGTGTGTGTGTGTGACACACCTGTGATGACGAGTGTGTGTGGTATATCTGCCTCAGTGAGCATCCGCTGAACATGGCCGTTATAGAGGGCCATCGCTTGGCCCCGCCCACTCTGAGGATTGACCAATACCATCACGCCACACAGGCGGCGGACCTCAGAGAACAACACACCTGAGAGAGAGAGAGAGAGAGAGAGAGAGAGATATGTAAAGACTCTGACAAACATTTACATTCACAATTAAAAATAAAATCACTGATCTGTTCTGTATCAAATTCGATTAAAAAGTAACACAAACATAATAATAAATAAATAAATAAAACAATCAACAATAAAAAATACAATAATATTAATTATGAAATAAATAAAAAATATTATACATATATATATATATATATATAATAGTGTATTATATAAAATATAATACAATAAAATCATAGCAACCTGTTTAACAATAAAATAAAAATAATAATACATTTTTTTTATCAAATATTGGGGATCGGACAGATATTAAAGGCTCTAGTAAATGACTGAACTGTGTGTGTGTGAGTGTGTGTACAGAATTAAACATTTCAAACATGTTTAACTGCACTTAAGCTGTTTTGAGTTCGAGACAAATATCCCACATATTTCTTTTTTTACCATATTGAGTTCCTGAGAAAAAATTTTTTATAAAATAAATGTCAAATTTGATTTATTTTTAGATTATTTCATTTTCTTTTCACGCATTACAGTGATTTCTCAATCCGATTGTCCAGATAACTGATTTCCTCTTGCTCTCGGCCTGGCTGTTTTGACACCAGCAGGTTTTAATTGGCTGTTGAGAACAGGATTTTGACCTCTGTTTAAGAGGTTTGTGTGTGTGACACACACAGGGAGAGTGTTTCACCGAGGAGGACATCATTACCCAGCCGGTTCAGCTGGACGGACCTGTTTCCCCGCGAGCGGTTTAAGTGCGGGACACCATGAATATGTTATTATTTTCAATAACATATTATTATTAAGGGCTGTGTCTCTGTTAAATCGCCCCTTATACCTTTAAAAAATTAATAAAACAAGCATTTAAATCTAATATTTTTTTAAAAATAAATACATATATAAATACAATAAAATATTACATTGTATATTGTTATTCCCAATAATAACAATAATACACTCAATTAAATGTATCTTAATTAAATCTTAATTAAACTGTCTATGTAGACAATAAGATCCTGAAAGTGTTCTGCAGGATTTCAGCGCATGTTCGGGGTTTAAACACTCTCCTTCACACACAGCTGTGGTTAAATCCCTGTAACGCCCGACTTGCTGCATTAGCAAACAACCCGTCCGCTTCCTGTGGGCCGAGTCTCCGCCAGCGGGAGGCTGTTGAACCCGAGCCGCGTCCGTAACCCAGAGTCCTGTAATGAGCTCCTGGAGAAACCTGACGAACAACAGCGCTCTGTCACACACACACACACACCCGCTGCGCTCCTTCATATCAGTCAGTGATTAACATGCACTCAGCAGCTTCACACATAATTAGCACTCGAGTCTCTGACTGAAATTAAAGCGCTTTAGCATCACATCTCAACTTAAAGCCCTAAAGTTCATAATGTAATCATGGGTGTTTTGGGGGTTAAATGTGATTTCTCTGAAGGATTTGCTGCAGATCTGAACTTTCTTGCGTAAAGTTGTAAAGTTTAAACTGAAGTAATGGTTTAACATCCAAAACCAAAGAACAAAAAAAGCATGTTTGCGATTCTACAAATATGCTTCTCTTTTTACTGCTAGAGAGAAAGAGGTGTTTGTGTGTTTGAGAGAGTGTGTGTGTGTGTGTGTGTTTCACTTCTCACGCTGATAAAGCTCTCAGAATCACAGCTGCTGAACTGTGAACATATGGTGAGATACGGAGGGGTGTGTGTGTGTATGATTACACACCTCTGTTGTGATGTTTAATGTGTGTCACTAGAAACGCCTGAAACTATTCAAACACAAGCATTCAGAAACTCTCTGAATCTCACTAAACCTGTCAGGAACACGTCCAGGTCATATTTCAGCACACACACACACACAGTCAGAAGCGTTCCCTGGTGTGCACCGCAACTTATTCCCATCACAGCGAAACACTACTTGACCACAAGTGACAGTAACGACTAATGTATAGTAAATTAAAGGGTTAGTTCACCCAAAAATGAAAATTCTGTCAGTATTTACTCACCCTCATGTTGTTCCAACCCCGTAAGACCTTCGTTCATCTTCGGAACACAAATTAAGATATTTAAGATATTAAGATCGCTCCTGCATACTAGTCCATAGGCTTCTTGAGGGAATGACTTGCTGTCCCCGATAAGTCATTAAAGACGTCGTTAAAATAGTCCAAGTGACTACAGGGGCTCAATCTTAAGTTTATCAAACGATGAGAACACTTTTGTGCGCAAAAACAACGACTTTATTTCAACTATTCACTTCCTTCGTAGTCAGTTAACGTAACGTAGTGTGATTGCGTAGAGCTACGTCACACGTAGGCTCACTATTGGCCGACGCTGGTCATGTGTGTGTGATGCGTGTGACGTACAATAACAGAAGCTTACGCTATTAAACTAGTAACCTGACTCGCGCAGAGGGAGAAATAAACGAATAGTTGAAATAAAGTCGTAATTTTTGTTGTTTTTTGCGCACAAAAAGTGTTCTCGTCGTTTGATAAACTTAAGATTGAGCCCCTGTAGTCACTTGGACTATTTTAACGATGTCTTTAATGACTTTGAGGACAGCAAGAGTCAGTCCCTCAAGAAGCCTATGGACTGTATGCAGGAGCGATCTTAATATCTTAAATATCTTAATTTGTGTTGCGAAGATGAACGAAGGTCTTACGGGGTTGGAACAACATGAGGGTGAGTAAATACTGACAGAATTTTCATTTTTGGGTGAATTAACCCTTTAACCTCTGTTATACAATGATGATGTCAGATGATAAAGATGATATATGAAAAGATAAAGCGTTCAGTCACATTGTAAAAGCAGCTGTGTAACATGTTCTTCGCGTGTGCTTGCGTGTCTTTGTGTGATGAATCTGTTCGTTCATTCATCTTTCAGTGGCTTAAACGACTTTCTTTAGAGAGAACGAGTGCCAGAGTTATAGAAAAATGAAGCAAGAAGGCCATTCTGTCACGAAGTGATTGTGTGTGTTTTCGTTATTAGTTATTGCCCGTCTATTATTTATCCCAGGTGTTTCTCATTTCTCACGCCCCCTTGTTATCTTGTCTAGCTCGTTTGTCATTGATTATTTAAGCCCTGTGTTTCTGCCCTGTCTTGGTTGGTTATTGAATTTATGTGTGTTACGTTGGTGCTCTCAAGTTTCTCGAGTCCTGCTTCTAGTTCTAGTGTCTTGTTTTAAGTTTGTTTAATAAAGCTACACTGCGTTTGGACCCAGCCTCAGCTCTGTTTCTCCGCACAGCGTCACACATTCTTTGTGTTCAAGTCTTGATCCAACATAAATCATCATCTGAGAACTCCTGAAAAGGCATTTATCATGAATTACTGCCTTCTGAGAGCTGCATAATGCAGAGAGATTCAACTACACTGACGCTCATAATTAAAGCCTCAGGATCAGAGACATGCAGACCAAAGCTCGTTAGTCAAATCAATATTTCAATATTAATTTTGTTGGATATAATTACGCATTATAGATGCATGTCATGCTTGTGTGTGTGTGTGTTGAATGCATAATTGAGCTGCACAAATCAACGTGTCAGCAAAAAAAGCACCACAAAACACTAAAAAACGTCCTTTACATTCAAATAAAAATGTATTAAAAATTATTGAAATAATAAATAATCAGATATAAATACATTTTAACCCTTGTGCTGCATTAGATTTTTAACACCGTTGAGTGCATTAAGGACCAAAAATGGCCACATATTAAACATTGCCTAAAATATTATATATTATTATTATTTTCCACTTTTACCAAGTTAAATCTTTTAACCAGCATCAGTCCTCATCATAACTACCAAAAATGTATTCAATTTCAGGATTTTAACCCTTTAATTACCAGTTTTGTTTGCGAAACCATCGATTTGTATAAGAGGAAAAAACACAAAAATTCAATTATTTTCAATAAACTAAATGCAAAGAGAAAACTTTAGATTTGGATTATCACAGTCCCACTTTGCAAAAAATCCCACTTAGCGCGTTAGAGACCAAAAATGGCCACCTATTAAACATTGCCTATTGGTGCATTTATAAGGTGCATTTCCACCCATTGGGAATACATATGTAGTGACGTCATCTGGTGGAATACACTATATAATGCAAATATAATGCTTTTGCTTCAAAATGAAAGGATGTTTGTGCAAAAATCATGTTTCATGTATTACTGACAGCCTCAGATTTAAACAACGTTTTAATGGGTTTCAATGGGCCATTTTTGGCCTTTATGGTGCTGAGTGTTACTATTTGATCTACACAGTGTGTGTTATACACATTTTGCAAAATAGGATCACATTTTTTACATGTATCCAAAAAGTCACAATTTTGCCAAATTTCATACCATTTGCATTAAAACAGCCAAAACGGTCAAAGAAATTAAACTGCAAAAGACCAAAAATGTCCCTAATGCAGCATAAGGGTTAAAGGTAAATTAAAAAATATAAAACATTTTAAATATAAAATATGAATCAAATAAAATAATTAAACAATAATAATCTATTTTTGGCAGTCATAGTATACAACACAACACAAACAACACAATCTGTTAGTGTGATTTTATCACATTAATCTGTTTTTAGGCACATGGTGTTCCTGCATTACAGCGGTGGATTGGTGACAAGTGAACGGATGGGTGAAGTGTGTTCTGGCTGAGGGGCTCGCGGGTGTCTGATCAGAAGCGGCCTGACAGCATCATGCCACACAGCCGAAAGATCAAGGGGTCAAAGGTCACCCAGACGAAACACTAGAGAACCCTTCAGGCTTTCACAGAAGGAGATATAGATCCACACACACACACAAAGTGCATGTGTGCCTGTGGGAATGCCATGAGAGTCAGGCTTCAGTATTCACCATCTCTCTCTCACTCTCTCTCTCTCTCTCTCTGCATTAATTCAGCGCTAAAGAAATTCTCCTGAGTTCTGCATGACTGTAAATCATTAGAGGCTCCATCTGATTTCCTTCTGAAATGACTGAATGTGAAAAG